GGCGCGTGTCGCGCGAACGAAATCCATCGATCAACTCAATTAACTAATTGCCCCGCGGCACCCCCGTTTACTCCCGCGCCCTTTCTGCCCCTCTCGTCGTATTGCAGCCTCCCTTATTCGCGATCATGCCACGAGGAAGCCAAGCGAATTCCGTCGAATTTCGCTACGCGCTCTCCTACGTCGTGTTTTCCGCTTCGATCACGCCTTGCCGAGCTCAAAAAAATGCTATGACTGCCGGTTGTAGTTTATTGGTCAACAGCGATTCGCACCGACGGACTTTTCCTGTTGCGTTATTCCGAGGCGGATATGAAAAGCGATTGAAGCTCGTTTTGTTTGCCTATACGTTCGTTACATGTTTCACTGTTCGTTCCTTTTTGGCGCGTTACGGTGTTGACGTAAAATGCGTGACGGAAGTTCTATTGCGGAGCAAATTGTAAAGTACTGCATGATAAAAAATCTAAAGCCCGTTTTATAGACAGTTTATAATTTGCGGAAAAAATCGAGGCGGAATACTACGAGTAGAATATATTGAACACGCTATGTAATATAAAAAATCATTTCATGCGATTAAAATTATTCTTAGACAAATTAAAATATAAATTTTGCAGCTTTAATGTGTATGAATTATTAATTAGACTTAATAAATAATTAAGAAAATTAATAAAGTTAATTTTTATGCTTAAGATCTCAAAATAAGTGAAAATAGCTCTGCAAGATTATATAGATATATAGACAACGATAATTAAATTTTTCTTATATAGAGATTAATTTTCAATCAATGAATTTATGAAAGAAAAAAATAATTATATTTCTAGAAAGCATTCTTTTTTTTTATATTTCTTAATTATTATTTTTTTTAATCTATTTGAATTTAATTGTTTATTTATCTATCTATTTAAAGATTAAGTCTTGTCATTCCGTCACATATTTAATTAATATATTTTTTATTATTTATTAAATATAATACTTGTGAGATAGGCTATATGTTGAATTTGACTTTATAAATTTACCGATAACGTTGACGTAACTGTCCGTATAGCAAAGGGCTATGTGCAAAGCAAAGTATGACGAGGCGTGGGAAGTCGATAAAAATTTGATCGACGTCCTTACGGTCTGCTTACGGCACTATCGTCTTCATGGCATCCTTTATTTCGTACTCACGAACACGTGAATACCTCAAAATCGCTTTTTTGACCCGGGGCGACATAAAGCTTGTCAGCAAGCGGGAGAAATATGATTTTATCTCGAGCGGATAATGCGTCCGAGATGATGAAGATATCTTGAAATTTAATTTTTCAAAATTCTTCAACATTTTCAACATTAAATAACTTTACAATTACGTCTCGCTTTAAATTTTTGCAAAAGTCAGCTTTAAATGTAAAATGCTACAAACAAAAACAAAATGCTATAATTTTAAATGTATTTAAAAATTTGAAACAAAGAAAGATTTATATTTATAAATTATAAATTAGTTAATTAATTCGCACTACCAAATTATCTGTCACTTTATCGAATTTATCATTCGTGTCTGGATTTATTTGATTTGCGGACGTTTGAGGGATTTGTAATCGCGATTGGGACGACGCATTTTGATATTTCAAGATATGTGCATGTTCACCATGTGCCATGTGACGTGCATGCCACGGAATTACGATTCTCTCTCTCTCTCTCTCTTTCTCTTTCTCACTCTCATCCTCGTATTATGCAAATCCGTTGCGGCGAGCGCGATCACGGATCCTTTGGTCGAAGGATGCACTACAGCCGGGCGATGTCATGGCTTAGGACGATTCTGTATGAGCTACCACGAGGTCACTTCGGGGACGGCGTAAATCCCCGAATAGTGATTGGCAAGTTCCCGGCGACCCGTGGGATATATCATCAGGAACAGACGGTCACGACTTCAGTCCGAGAAATCCTTCGTGACTACTTATTGTGAATACCGATTTCTCACGAGTCGTCTGCTTCTCCGTTTGCCAAAATTCGCGAATTTTGTATACTCAATGAAAGTTTTAATCAATTTAGAAATTGGGGCTATCTAGGAAAATTGAAAAAAATTACAGGAATTTAATTTTTATGAACATCCCTCTTATTCATTCTCTTTTATTTTATTTCTATTAAAAGATATTTTTATTAAAATATTTTTATTTTACTACATATACAAAGAATATATAAGAATATATATTTTTATTACGACGTGTAACAATTGATATATGATAAATTGAACCGTGCAACGGAATATATTAAAATATTTCATTTTTTTTCTTATTTTTTTAAGATTTTTAGAAAGAAAAAGATTTTGTTTATTACAATTTATTTTGTTTATTTTGTTTATTAAAAATGCATTTAAATAATAAACTGTTAAAATGAATTATTTTGTAATGTAAAATTTTATGGAATAAAATTTCAATTAAAATGGTTATCATTGAAGCTATTCTCTTTAATATTTCTAAATATATTTAGCTCGCTTTGACTGTTATTTTTGCTCAATGTTTTGACAACAATAATGAGAGAAAGAAGGTTTTTACGTGCATGAGAATCTCGTGCGATCATCAGTTTATTGTTCTACGTGTGAGATTGTGGGAAGAAATATTGCGCTGGATAATGGTATAATGCAACTGACAACCTTAGAAGAGCACGTGTGCACGTATAGTATAGTATATTTTCCACGTCAGGATAATTCAAACAGTTACAATGGTGCAGTGAGAGATTATCGAATAAGATAATTGAATTAGTATATCTGATTAATTGAACAATTAATTTAATATTGATGGCACATTCAATATTAAAGATGTTCCATTTTATTTATTATATATGTTACAATTGAAGCAAATTATATAATTCTTAATTCTCTATTTGCATCATTTTACGTTATTTCACGGTTTACGCAAATTGTTTCTATTATCGTATGAATTGGTTAATTTGCCTTCGAATAGCGTTGGATGTACATCGGCGTAAAGCTCTGATCGATAAACTGACCAGCGACGATGCACATATCGCTGCTCCGGATTTATGCCATGAATAATTTGTGTAATCATATAATTAATTGGTCACGGCCATTAAGTACAAAATTCTAAGAAGTGTAATAAGTGTAATAAAAATAATACATGAGGCATACATAATATGGCTCGTGTCAATACGGCGTGTGTTAAATTACCACTTCCACGTATCGCAATGCATATCGTCCTGTCGCTGTTGAATACAGCAATAGATCAATACAGGTCATCGCAAAAATCGTTTATACGAACTGCGTTAATTTAATTAGTTCTGCAAATATGATAATTGCCACGCGCTGCTCGACATGTTAGATTCATTAACACGCTTGGAACATTAGTGTATGAATTTTCTCGTATTTCACACTAACTTTATCTTTTTAATTTTGATTTATATGCTTTTTCTCAATCCAATTTTTTTTCCATCGTTTTAAACGCAACAAATTCTGTATTTGACAGATGAAATTATATGTTTATAAATATGCATGTATACTATAAAATAAAAAATAAAACGTCATTGTGGCATACAGTATTTAAATAGTCAAAATATATAGAGCGGCGCAAAATGTCATTAGTTTTGGACCAAGTTATTTATTTTCAGAATTTTGAATATTACGATGAAAGTTTTATGACTGATAATAATTCAGATTTTTGTCAAAGAATTATTTGCTTAAAATTAATTAAAGAGATAAAATGAATTAATGAGATTCCATTCCAACAATTTATACTTTTAACGTTTAATCTGCTAAAATATTTTTACGTCTAGCGTGTAGTATAAACTTCATTAAGCCACTGTTAGTTTTTTACCAAAGAAATGTCAATTGCAAATTATAGCGAACGATCGCGTTATACAAGCGCTGGTAAATCGTACGATCGCGTAGAAAATTCGATTAGGTCAACGTCAAATCGAAAGGCAAACGACCGGGAATGATTTGTTGCACAAACGAGCCGCTCATTCGACGGTTCTATTAAAACTAGTGGAAATGCGCGGTCCGATAAACTTTAGAAGCAAGCAAAAATTCTCTGCCGGAGGTTTCAACCGATCAAATCGATAATCACCGGCACTGCATTGAAAGGCAAATTAATAGTCGACAGGGGATGAGATGTGCGCGATCGAGGGAAACGGGGCAACTATTAACCCCTTGCTTTCCATACTGGCAGTAGGTCGACAGTTACTTCCGCTTGTTTTTCTGTGTAATTGGATAGAACGATGGAACATGATGCATGCATAGAAGTCCGCATAAATCAGCGTACTAGTGAAAGAGAACGCGTCCTTTATGTTCCATTGTGTACGTAAATGTAAGTGTCTGTGACTTTAAGTGTCTGGATACGGTGAATGAATACGATTGTTATTGAAGCCGCATATCACCTTACGTAATAACATCTTAATCTTTATCAGTTTTTCTCTTGATTGTAATAACACCTTCTCTCTCTTTTAAATGTATGTCCTTTTACGAATATAATAACGAATAAAAAATAAAAAGAAGATATAATTACATAGAAAGGAAAGGTATAAAGAGGAAATCAAATTTTTCGCAACCTTGTGTCCGTTACTCGCGCGAGGGTTGCGCTTTTGGCCGCGGGTCACGTGGAGGCGAGGAAGTGGAGCAAGTAGTGCAGGCGCACGGGTGGTCAGACTTTTTCGCGCGAGGATCACCCTCGCCCTCTCGCTCGCTCGTTCGTGCTAGCGTTTACGTTGGCGCTATCCGCGAGCGAGCGAGCGAGCAGGCGAACAGGCCGCGATCGGAGGCGGGTACGCGCGGTCGTGGCATTCCCCTCTCCGTTTCGTCGAACACGTCGAGTGGGGACGACGCAGGCGCGCAACATCCTCTTCGACCCCCGCCGTTCGAGTACCAACATTCCCCGCCGCCGCCGCCGCCGCCGCCACTGCCACCGTCACCGCCGCCGCCGCCGATGCTGCCGCCACCGCCGCTGCTGCCGCTGCCGCCGTCGCATCGCCCCTCCTCCCCCCACGCCCCCCTTCCCCCCGCCCCGCCGCCGAGAGCGCAGTGTCGCGTCGAACCTCTCGCAGAGCGCGTCGCACGTCCGAGTACCGGCCGCCGCCCGTCATCAGTAGTCGCCGTACCGCGCAGCCACGTAACCTCTCACCTTCTCCTTAGTTTTTAGTAGTCGGTAGTGTGAGGAGAGTGCGGGGGGGAGAGAGAGAGAGAGAGAGAAAGAGAGCGAGAGAGAAGGAGAAAGTAATTGACCAAGGGAAGAGTAATATCGAAGTCAAAAAAGAGTTAGCGAGAGGTCGACAGCCTTTTTCCCTCGTATACTCTATTAAGTCGTCGTCGTCGTCGTCGTCATCATCGTCCTCGTATTCGTCCTCCTCGTTGTTGTCATCGTCATCCTTGCCGCCCTGTCGTTGTCGTCGTCGTTGTCATCGTCGTCATCCGGCGCGATACAAGCGCGGGTATATCTTGACCCTCAGCCCCGTTTCGCGTCAACCTTTTTCGCCGTCAATAATCGCGCTCTCGTCCTAGTGCCGCGCGATTATCAGTCGAACGTGTCGCCCTTCGTAATCACAGAGGTGGCCCGGAAGGTAGATAGAGCGCGAGGGAGAGGAAGGAAGATCGAAGGAGCGTAGTCGGGAGCGAGAGGAAGCTCCTCGGAGGAAAAACACGTAGCTGAAACACCGGCACAACTGAAGCAAGTTCCGAGGAAAGTCTCGCGCGTGTCGTGACATCATTTCCTTTATACGTCACGAGCTTTGCCGCGACGACGCTCGCCGCTGCCGTCGGCGACGAGATTACCGTTGCGCGCATCGACGAGGACACAGTCCGTGATCGCAGCAGCGGTAGCAACAGCAGCAGCAGCATCATTATTATCCACAACACCAGACAGCACCACTTCTCCGGACGCGAGCAAACTCGCCGAGCGCCGTCGCTTCCACCCCGGGCACGCGAGAGCCTCGCGACGACGACGACAACGAGTAATCGTGCGCCGCGCGCTGTTATGGAGTCCCAGAATCAGGAGATCGTAGCGAGCGGCTCGCCCGCCGAGGTGCCCAACGATCCAGGGTACGAAGAAACAGAGCGAACAAAGGGAGGGAGGTTGTCACCATGTCCACCACGTGAACGGCAGCCTTCGCGTTTACAACTCCCGGGCAATCCCGAAACTACATCGACCATCAACGATCGACCACACGAGAGAGAACGGGTAGAGAGGGAGGGTAGAGAGAAAGAGAGAGAATGCGAGCGAGAGAAAGAGAGCAGGTGTAAGAGAAGATGTATGCATGGCTGAATGCGTGGAGAGTGTGAAAGGAGAGAAATAGAGGGTGGGGGACGACGGGCGGGAAAATGGAGCGCTTTCGTTCTCAGTGCGATGCCGCGCAGCGATCGCTCGTCCTTGGAAAAAGCTTGTGTTTCTGTTATCCTGCTCCCGTGACAGTGTTTCGGTTTAACGTCGGTCGCTTCCCGAAACGGATGGATCGCGTATCATGGCTAAGATTTTCGAACCGAGACCGATTCGACGCCCATCGCGACGACGATGCCGTCGTGGATCACGCGATACGCATGGTGTTTATGTTTGCCGCGTGAATATGCGTACTTCTCCTCGGACCGGTGGCGCCTTCTTTCAGCGTTTGGTATACCCCCGCGTCGACGGGAACGGATGGGAATGCGGGGGTGGGAGAGTGTCTGGATGAATGGAAAGAAGAAGGGAGGGAGAGGAGATGCCGCCACCTTCGAATCTGCCCGTCAGCCGGCATACTTCACGGGGGTTCGCGCGAAAGAACGCGAAATACTGGGAATACCACACGTGAAGACACCACGCTTTGCCCGATGGCCACGTGGTGGACCACCGACTCTTCCGGACGAAATCACGCGTGGTCTTGTCACGTGATTGCCTGAAAACGAAGCGGGACCGATACTCCGCATGAGCAATGTGCAGTGTTCTTCAGTTGAATGAAATTTCAGGATTTTTCTCGCGATCAATAGCTGGATTGGTTAATCTCAAACATATTTGATGATTTGTTTGAAATTTGGTGAAGAACGCGATAGTTTCGTTCAGCTTCGGTTGTGATTAATAAACTGATTCCTCTTTGGTTATTTAGAAAAAAAAAAAAAAAAAAAAAGAAGTGAGATATCTTTAATCGGTTCTATTCGTTAGATCGTTCAGCTCGACGTTCATATAATGATATATCTGTATCATTTAGGGTAATATGTGATAGTTTGTACAATTTTGGTTGTGATTAACAAGCTGATTAGACCACATCTGATTATGACGATTGTGAAAAAGCAAACAACAACCGATTTGTATTAGGTCGCACTGTGATCGATACGATGCTCATCCGATAATGCCCATAATGCTCGGAAAACGTGATGGTTTCGCTTAGTTTCGTTTGTGATTGATAAATTGATCAAATTATGTTATTAATACAAGATACCAAATCAATTAATATTTGTTAGATTGCTCTCCCTGTTCGACTTAAATGTTCATTCAACGGCGTTTGACAATATGATTGAACTATTAATAATTATATTCATGTTTATGAGTAGTAAACTGATTATAAATTCGAATATTTTTCTTCAAAAATCTCATCTGTGGTTATATGCTCTTTTTACATACAAGAAGAAATTGTAAATTTTGGATTTCTTGCAGTATTTTGCTATCGCATATTTCATTATTAATTTTGTTTCTTGATATTGAACGTAGTAATGTTTGTTCATGTTCTTCTGGGTTTCTGATCAAGAGACATTCAGAAATGTATTTGTAAGAAATTTTAAATATATATTACTAAATATATATTAAATTTACTAAACATTCTGACTCCTTTAAATAATATTTCTTTGATAATTTAACCACGTCTTTAACATGATTTGTTATATATGGATAAATTAAAAAGTAGGTAATATATTTAGATGCAATTTAATTATTTAATTAAATTAATATTCGGAGTATTTGAAAAATAATTTTAAAGCAAATTTTATTTGGAAAAGAAAATTATTAAAATCTTAATTTAGAGGAAAAATTGGAACATGACAGTTTTGGTATCTGTTTCTTTTTTGTTTTGTATAGATAAATATAGATGAATAAATAACCGCGATTTAATTTAATGTTTGGAGAGTCTTTTTCCAAACCTTTTTGACATATCTGATACTTTAAATAGTATTCAATAATAAAATATCGATATACCGATTGTATATTGTATTATTGTATCTGTGTCAGTAGACAAATGAATCATGAATGAAACTTTTTGAACGAAATTGCATAACAAATCTATATTTATTTATTGATATTTCGCAATATTATCTTTCTTTAAGAAGACACTGTTTTCCATTGGAGAATTTAAATGTTAAGTGATATTGACATTGATGATAAGTGATATTGAGAATATGTAATTCCCAATTGTTGAGATTATCTGTAGGAAGCGATTTCAGATTTAACTCTCGCGATGATCGCGAGCTAGGAAACGATAACCCACTTTGATTCTTCCAATTGGGAAGCTCTAGATGGATAGGCGGATAGAGGTAGAGATGCAGAGAGAGAGAGAGAGAGAGAGAGAAGGCGGGAGAAGTGGCGGCAGAAGGGGCGAACGTGCGTGGGAGGAAGATAGCTATATCGTGGCTCGGAAAATCGATGTTCAAATGCGCCACCACGTGATTACGTCCACCAAGCAGGAGCGTTATCTCACTGTGTAATAATGCGAAGCGCGATTATTTGCGACGACGATGATGAAGAGCGAGCAGTAGTGGGGAGATCTCACTTCATCCGTGTGGTGAGGGGGGGGGGACGAGAGATCATGAATGAAAAGAATGGGAGGTCGTTTCCTTATCGACGCACGCTGACGGATACTTAAGCCGGCTAATTAATGACGCGTACGTGGATCGATTATGGTCACTGCCGGCCAGTGTGCAAAGCGCAATTCGCTTCCTGCGAGAGACTGGCGATTACAGCCGCTGGCGGTCTTCTAGATCGGCCGGTTTATTCGCGGAACGATATTCTCGGTGTCGCACTTATCCTATCTAAAAAGCTTAGGTGTCGTCTTTTTTTTTATCATTTAACGACCTTGATAACGAGAGGTCTCCATCTAGAACTCTTTATAATGTTGGAGTTGTCGTAAAGTCGTTAGCAAACGTACGCCGTTCACTCGATGTGTAGATAGTCAACAATCACGTGGATCGTTCATCGATCTGTAAGGCAGATAACACGCAGATTTTCCACCTTGAAATAGTGATCGATAGGCGTTACGTGTTCGTGCAAGACTATTCCTCGATGGGGAAGTTCCGAGTGTAATTAATGTTATCGTACAAGTTTCCGTAATTTTTGTATTTTTGCCTAATTCAAAGATGTAAAAACTTAAATTATGAAACTTCTCGAAGAGATCTAAAGAGAATCTCAACTTGGTTTTTTTTACTACAATGCATAAAGTATCGAAGTAATGAGTCATTAAATATGCTCTTTAGCGAACAGGCTGAATTTCCCATCTACAATATCATATATCGCTTACATTCAATTGCATGCGTTATGTACACTTGTTATCTTTTTGTTAATTTGTATTGATAGTAGATTTCGAAAGATAAGATATAAATTGCGCGGTTTCCTCCGGCGGTGCAAATTCAAAATTGACGGGATCTCCCAATGCGTGGATAAAAAATAACAAATTGATTAATTGATCGATCGGGGTCAATCATGTGCGCAGGTGAATCGATGTGTGAAATTGCGTGCAAAGAAAAGAGGGATGTGAAACATACGGAAGGTGCCGGTCCGAGAAGAATACGCGTAACTCGCGTTCCATCCGCGATCGGAAGATCCAGTTTTCGGGCCGCGTCGCGACCGAAACGTGTTTGCAAAAAATAAAAGAAGACGGGTGTTGTTCGATTGTTGATGTGTGGTGACACCTGCCGCTGAGGGCGGGAGACTGCGCAGGGGGTTGCAAAATAGTACCGGAAGTTACCCTCTGCCGGCAGTCTCCCCGCGTCCGCTTCCTCTTCCGCCAACAACCCGCGACTGGACGGCGAGCCTGATGGAATCGTCTTTCTTTTCTAGGAAAATGTTCATCGGCGGCCTATCTTGGCAGACTAGTCCAGGTATGTGGGAAAAGCACGTAATAGCGTAATCGAGCCGCATTGACAATTATTCGCGATGGATGCTAACCGCTCGGGAACGTTTGCGCGACCACCCGGTCTGAGCATTGCGGATATTATTTCCTTCCACATCTTCACGGTTATTATTTGCTGATTTACGTATCGCGACACGCGTATCTCTCTCAAGTTGCTGGACATCTTTAAGGAGTTATCATTATCAAGAACTTGAAAAATGGCTTTTTTTTATAAGGAAAAACGTCATTATTAACGGGGATCTAACTAACGGGCACTTCGACTGAATTCTTCTTTAAAAGAAATTTGATGTCATCATGTGTCATGCATTTTACTTTAAATGTTTGATGTTAATCGATAATGTTAAAACTGATAAAACTTATTGAAATAAAAATCGTATTTTATATTAATCAAATTAATTATAAAACACAATATATATTTTAATGTTTTTTTTATGTGAGGCAAAAAATTTCTCGCGAGGTACTTTTTTGAAAAAATTATTCAACACACTTTATTGTGGAAAGCAAATAAACAGAATTGGTGTCATTTGTAACAGGAAATTCTGAGAAATTGTAACATACGTCAGCTGCGGTGAGTTTCGACAGAGATTTAAAAATTGTCACGACTGACTGTTTTATAGTTTGACACGTTCCTTTATTCCGTAGCGGAAAATATTGTCGAAAAATGTCATTTATAAAAAGTTGGAAAGTATGTTTTCTAAAACTTCGGGAAATATTAAATTTTTGTATTTTGTACTGTTTTACAACTTGACATATTTCCTTATCGTATGACGGAGAATGTTACTATACATCATCTCTGAAAAGTACCTTTTTACGTAAGAGGAAAAATATCATACATGAAAAATGGTGGAACTTAATGCCAAGTTCCGCGCGTTGTATAATGTCACCTATATTTTTATAAATTTACACAATGTTGTGTAAAAGCTAAAAGATTACCTCTGTTAGCACATATTTGTATGATCTCAAACAATGATATATAAAAATCTTATTATCTACGGCTTTATATTTTTTTGCGTAAAGCACTCATGTGCAAAGCATTTGTTACAGAAATGTCTCTTTGACACTAAAGAAACGGGATGTGAATAACGAGAAAACTCGAACTAAATTCTACCTTGCATAAGATGCATAAGATATAACAAACAATAAAACATTATGTAAAAAAATTATGAAAATTGATTAATTTAATTTTAATATAATGATATATCAAAACTACTATAATATTTGAAACAATAATTGTTTGTATTACTTTTTTACATTTTTTTTCGTTGTCACTCAAAGAAAATAACTTGACAACTTACATTCAGGATGTCGAAGAAATGACAGTGATAAAAATTATGAGGGAAACCGGAATTCCGGCGGATTTAAATTTCCTCCTTCTGTTTTCTAACGTGTGTGATAAATAATGATACATCGTGTAATGATACCTCGGAGAGGAAGCTCATTACGAAATGGACGAAAAAAGATGCTAGGATACGCGCGACCACGTGTTTTATAAAACACTTATGACGGTCATGTAGATATTTGCGACTTTTTCACGACATTTAATCAGATCAGCTGGAAGATGATTGCGCGCTCGTGTGCTAATCTTATTTACTTTGTATCTTATTCACCGTGCTCTATATTCATTGAAAGTGTTTCCTAATATCTTGGCAATTTATTGTGACATATTGACATTCAATATTTTATACATATGCATTACAGAGCTTTATCGGATTAGAATATTAACCTAAAAAAACAATTAATTGATAATAAATATGTATTCGTAATAATGATATTTTGATATATGTATATATAAGATATAATTATTGTTAAAATTATATCAAAGTATTGTCATTATTATAGTATTATTATTTTAAATGATAAACAGTAATATTATATTATTATTATATTATTATTATTTATTTAATTGTCTATGTTTGAAAAATGTAATTATTATATTATAGAAACTTAGGTGTACAGTAATACACGATTTTTTTTCGAGAGATACGTGTTGTTCGTTTTCGTACCGTTTCGACGATTCTTCAGCAACGAGTTCTTTCCAAGGAGAGCTTCCTGCTTGAAAGAATACGAGTAGCGAACTCATTAGCGTTATTTGCCGTTGTTGCGTAAGTCGTGCCTCTCCATCTCGCTCGTTTCTCGCCATCTTGCTTGTTCCTTACTCCGCTTTCCGCGGTGCAATTCGCTCTTTCTCCGCAAGCCATTTACGAATAACTTTTATAAACTTTGCAGGCGCGCAGGACGCTAGTATACGTAACTTTTCAAGCGAAACGTGGGGTCCGCGAAACCCCATGTTAGGCGTTGTAAGACGATAAAAGCTGCCGGTCTAACATGAATCAGCAGATCAACTTTCGTTTAATTTACACTCTTGCCGTCATGTTTTGAAAAGGTTACTATGGTATACTAAGGTATACTAAATTACATGAAAATGAGGTCAGTAACCAAGGTTCTCTCGCCAGATTTTACTTCTTATAGAGCAAAATGGAGCTAGAGAAGCTCGTGTTTCGTTTTCAAAGTTACTTACATTGAATAAGTTGCTTGTGTATTATATATATTCATGAAGTTTGTAAATTATCTTAAACGGATAATTACATTCTACGTAATTGGAAGACGCGGGCTTCACGGTTTAGGTCTCTGTCTTTATACTTCTCTCTCTTTTGTATTAAATATCTCGTCCATCCCTTTCTGGAATCGAGGCCAATCGAGCTAAGCACATTAGTTGCCTTGTTCTTACCTCGTTGCCCTTTGTATGTCATCTTGAGACACATTGATACACGATTTATATTAAATATTACATCTTATACATACATATATAATATACATATAACTTTCTTAATTAATGCACTTTATAATAATTTTATCCGTTCACTATGGGTTTTTCGTGATTCTCTCTTAATAGCGATTTTCATTATAATTATTACGTATGCAATAGATCATCGTTTCGTAATAATTATGTGAACATTTTCAAACTTTTCGAAAGTAACAACATAAACGATAAGAGAGATAAATATCTTTCAGTGATATTGAACAATTATTTCACATATATGAAACTTTAATAAATCACGATCTCTCTCGATGTATTCGTGAGAAACATGATACATAATAAGAGAAAGTGTACATATTAAAAATTTGCATGGTAGTTTTTTTATTCTGAATCGTCAATATAATATCCGGTTCAGAAAAACCAATAGCCGCTGGAATAATATTTTTCTTGGTATGTTTGATACCGTGGCTCGACTGCATACGACTGATATTATTTGATGCGAATAATTGTCGTCAAATTGTTGCGGCATTGAACGCAAATTATCTTTATGAAATATACCAATAATGATAATTGTGTTAATCAGTTAATATTTCTATTCATACAATTTTGTGTCTGATTAATTTATCTTAGATCGTGAAAAAAATTTTTATATATTTATTCGAGATTGCGTTTATATTCTTTTTTACGCAATAGAGCCTAATTTGCAAATAATTTTTTAAATAATTAAGATATTCTCTTATTGTAAAATGCAATTTTTGTTTACATAATTCTTTTCTCAATATGATTGATTTCAAGTCCTTAAATTAACAGATATTCAGTCATAGGATAAATAAATCGAAGAATAATATCGCGATTAATTAATTATATAGTGTAAATGCCTGACTGTTTATCAGAATAATTTAACCACTTATGCATAACATTCGTATATTTGTCTTATCGTATCAGTTAAAAATTGATTAAAATTAAGAGTCAAATATCGTATAAATTTTGATTGAAAAATATGCGGCTTAGTATGAACATGCTCCCTAGCGAGCGTTACATCTTCGGCGATCTAAACGTCAAACTGACGCTTTGGGACCGGTCCAGAGGTGTGGAAATAATGTACACACTAGCTTACAAGCACGTGTCAGTTTACGCCTGATTTTCGTCACTCTCACCGAGAATTAACGAGGTTTATAGCAACTGCACTAACTGAGAAAACTGTGGCTCAGATACAAACAGGTTTCTCCATGCAAAGCAATTCATGATATCGTTAATTTATGGAAACTTTTAGCTATTTGATTAAAAAATATAAATAATACATATACAAAGAACGCGCACTTATCGCATTAATTTTTTTTATTACATGTTTTTTTTATTAAATATAAAATTCAGATTAATTTGTGTTGCAACTACGTATATGTCTACATCGTTAATAAATTATCGTGTGATATAAAGAAAATTACTTAATTATCTTCCATATTTAATTGATCATATATACTTCGAAGAAAGTAAGAAATAAAACATGTATTTTTACACAACTTGTAAGTTTTATATCTGCGATAACAGTTACGTACACATATAAAAGATATTATTATTTATTAGATTTTATTTTTTATTATATATAAAAGATATAAAAACTGTCAAAATGCATGATCTTCGTATTGATAACTACATAACACGATGTAAGCAAAACGAGAAAAACCAATCAGCAACGTAGAAAAAACAATAAAAATTAAATCTCTTACACAGCTTTTTTAAAAGTGGAAACGATTGAAAATCTGTGGATTCTAGCCAATTAAATTCCAAAAAATATATAAATAACAAAATTTCACTATTCATTTGATTTTAAATGGATTTTGTAGTATCACAATTTTTAGAGGATTGGATAGTAAAAACATTAAGAATATATTTAGATTAATGATCAAGTAAAAATATTCTTTATATATTCAAAGGGTTTCGTATAAGCGTATGAAAATGTATAGAGTGCTTTTCTTTAGCTATTTCTTTCATAATTTATTTACGTTATTATAACGCATTGCAATTGATATAATAAAATTTAAGCTCTACTTGTAATACCTTTAATAAGTTTTTATCGAACAATTTTTTTTGAATGAAAAATAAAGATGATGAATATAAAGTTAGAGGTCAGCATCGATCATTTTGTTTTTTTGCGATTCACGATAATGGTATGCCAAACAAGAGCAAGCAGACTATCGACTTTCGTAGCA